TAGTTTAAGTGGATGTTAAGTGCATGTGAATAGTTCACTATGCTGTTTAAAAGTTATATTCTCAGTAAAGAAAAAAGAAAATCTTAGAAAATTAATACAACAACAATTATTAGTGATGGATGCTGCCAAGCTGGAAAAAAAAGACAAAATAGCACCCCAAAAATAAATAAATAAATAAATAAATGTATAAATAAATAAATAAATATTATAAAAGTTATACTCAAAACCTGGCATAATACATTTTTACGTGCCATATTTGAATGACAGGGGGCACGATTTTTAGCAATTTTTTGTCTGTTGCTCAATGATGTTGTATGCTTCAGGCTTTAGAATCTCTGTATTAAAAATATAGAGCAATAAGTCATGGATTTCTTTATGGTGCTTTTTTTTTGTATGCAGCCCTTTGCATTAACCTATTTTGTGCCTGTGTAGATTACACGCAGATGATTATCATGGGCTCTGCTTGTTTGCAACCCTACTCTAATTTGCACTACTCTTGGTAGATTGCGTTGGTCATTATGGAAACACACTGGCTGAGTCTGTGTTCTTTAATTTACGCATTGTTAATAGATCACTTTCAGAACTTGTGTAGGCTACTGCTAGCATACTTGTATATGTGTACTGTTCTTGTGAATAAACAGAGGCAGACAAAGTACTCAACTCAATTACTTGAGTGAAAATACAGATACTGCTGGTCAAATATTACTCCATTACAAGTAAAAGTTGTAAAAACTTTTAAAGTAGTGCTTGCTTTTAAAAGTGCTTAAGTACCAAAAGTAAATTTCCTTTTTTATGTCAATGCACTGATTTATTGTTGTACGTAATACTTGCAATACTTCTGAAGCAACTTAGAATTCATTACACCTACTGAATACACTGACTGGCTTGTAGTATCTTTGGAATAAAGAGCTTTTAGAATGTTAAAAACCTATGGGGGAAAAAAATTAACACCCCTACCCACCCCCACGAAAGCAGTATGGTAGTGATCTCACATAGCTCTGACAGTGTGTGCACACATCTATGTGTAGCCATTCATCCACATTTGAACAGAGTGGACAGTGAAATCCTTTAAATACAGAGTGATAAGGAAGAAAAAAAATCAAACCTGCTTTAAAACCCAGCAACACAACTGTAGCTTTTCAACTTTACAACAGCAACACTGCTTTAACAAAAAAGCAAAACAGCAAGACTTATTTGACATCAAAACCAACATTTAAAAAATGCTGTCTAATCACTCTCGCGGTACTTTGATGTCACACACAGAACGGTCTGTGCAGTGCAGCTTCAAGTCCAACACCTATTGTGTTTTATTAGGAGATGCACAACAGTTCTTCTGTGGCTTTATAGGTAATATTTTCACGTACACAATTTAGCAAAATCAGACAATATTGTGTCTAATATGCCACAATATTAACTTCTTATTATTGAATGAATTGTTGTAAATAAATATCACATTTGCAACTGGTCAGTGTTCAAAAAATGATGGGAAATCACTTCATGTAGAAAAAAAATCACCCACTGACTTTCAAAGCTGCTACATAGTAACGACTTTCTACTTTGAGGACCTTGATAGAAATGTAGTGGAGTGAAAAGTCAACTATTTGCCTTTCAAATGTAGTGAAGTTAAAGTCAAAAGTTCCCAGAAAAAATAATACTCAAGTAAAGTACAGATACTCAAAAAGTGTACTTAAGTACAATACTCAAGTAAATGTACTTAGTTATTGTCCCCCTCTGGGAATAAATTGGCCCACTTTTAGTTCATAAAAGAATACTTTGATACTATAAACGGAGTGTCTATTTACACTAAGTGCAAATAGCCCACCTTGTTGGCAGAGGCTATATACACTAGCTCCACCCACAAACGTGTGATAGGGATGGTCAACACTATAACAGACAGCATACAATCATCAGCTTCACTGGCGTAGATGGTAAAGCATGATCTCTGGTCTTTTTGACACGATCGACCCGGGTTCGAATCCGCCTTTTACCTAACTTGTTTTTCTACCTTTTCAAATCTCATATCACATCAGAAAGGCATTTATTTTCAATAAAAATGAAGGAAATAATCAAAAAGTTGAAAATAAAGTATCGGGTAGAGTTAAAATATGTGTAGGGAGGGCTTTATTGTCCCAATAAGGTGGCATCCATTTAATAATTTAAATTAAATTTATAATTTACACTCAATACGTTAGTACTGCATACTGTTTTATAATGTACTATAATACTGAGGTGCAGATAATTGCCACTATTTGCAATAAGTAGTATAAATAACAGAAAATCCTGCTATTTTAACATAGTGTAAATAAAAATCTATCGCTATCTGCGCTTAGTGTAAATAGCATATTGTTAAAAAATACTGCTATTTTCACTTAGTGTAAATAGAATCCATTGCTATTTGCACTTAGTGTAAATAGCATCTATCACTATTTGCACTTAGTGTAAATAGCATCTATTGCTATTTGCACTTAGTGTAAATAGCCTCTGTTCGCTAAGAAAATATGCTATTTTCACTTAGTGTAAATAGCATCTATTGCTATTTGCATTTAGTGTAAATAGCCTCTATTCGCTAAGAAAATATGTTATTTTCACTTAGTGTAAATAGCATCTAATTGCTATTTACACTTAGTGTAAATAGCATCTATTGCTATTTGCACTTAGTGTAAATAGCCTCTATCGCTATTTACACTTAGTGCAAATAGCCGCTGCCTACACTCTAAAAAAAAAGGTTCTTCAGCGGTTCTTTGGAGTATATATATACCACTATATATACTATATAGCACCACTACCATAAAACCTGTAAGCCCCTGTATAGTTCTTTTTTGTTTTTTTGTTTTATTCAACTTACCGTTTTGGTGAATAGTATTTGCTTTAGTTGCCTCTTGACCCTTGACTTAAATTTTAATTTAAAATAAGTGTCTTTTTGGTTGTTGTAGGTTTAGTATATTTACAAAAACTATTCACTAAAACTTACCGTTTTGGTGAATAGTATTTGCTTTAGTTGCCTCTTGACCCTTGATTTTAATTTTAATTTAAAATAAGTTTGTTTTTGGCTGTTACAATAGTGTTTATAAGCACATATGTGATGGCAAGGAACTTGTGGTAAAATTGTTTAATGTGTCTGATGCGTTAGCAATTTTAATGTGATTTTATCAAAATTTGTAGCTCATGTCTGTTTTATATTATTGCAATTCTACAATACTACGTGACAATGTGAGACAATTGTATAAACCACTTTTTGAATTATGGGTTATAAAGAGGTTTCAGTTCTGTCACTCATAGACATGAAGAATCAGCATATGAATCTCAGCGATGGTGACAAAATATTCTGATAATTTTGATATGATTTTTGAACATCACAAAACAGGGCAGTTAAAAAGTCACAACAAAAATAAAAGCAAATAGTAAGAATAGAAGAAAATACTAAGACAATGCAACTGCATAATTTATTCATGTCGCAGTGCATGCTGGGAGCCATGGATGAGTTATGATTGGTGCACCATTGTTGAGAAAAAGTGTTACATGGCACCATTTGACAAAGGTGCTATATTGCACTTGTAAAAATTGCTGCGTGTACTGCGTTAGACTAACCGAGACTTGTCATTTGCACTTATATATTGGTGCGCTTTTGTTAGTTTTGACTGCTTTTATTGTCCTCATTTGTAAGTCGCTTTGGATAAAAGCGTCTGCTAAATGACTAAATGTAAATGTAAAAATAGATGCTAAATAGCACTAAAAGTGGTTATCCTATGATTACAAGCCAAAGAACCGCTTTTAGTGCTATATAGCACAATTTTTTTAAAGAAATGTAACAATAGTAAACTTTGAGTAAGGAAACTAGTTTCTAACTTTTTCTTTATTATTGCAACTATTGCAAGTGAAATTATAGGTATACTGTTTACTAGTTATTATACTTCTAACTCATTTATTTAGTTTATGGAAGTACATTTTGAATAATACTTTCTGGAAACTACCAGTTTAACAGACCATATAAATATAAAACTAGTAGTTTACTGAGACTACTTTCATGAACTAAAAATTCGGTTTAACACAATATAATAAACTAACAGTATACCAAAAGTTCACTTATTGTATAGTTGCTATACTAAAGAAAACACTTAGATGTAAACTAGCTGTGTACCTAAATGTTACTTCTGTTGCACTTAATTGATACTTTAATAAACTAAAAGTGATGACAATTTAGTCCCAAGAAGTATTGGAAGAGTACACATAAAAATATACTGCTATACATTGATATTAGTATATTTACTACATAAAGTATACTTGACAAATATACTTGAACTGAACTCTTTTAGTTTACTTAGTTTACTTAAAATTAACTAAAATAAAATTATGTATACATTTTTGTATGGGCTTTTATACAACGAATACTGCTAGCAATAGTGACTGTGTCAGAACAGTCAAAAAGCCTGATAGAAAAAAACACAACGCTTCAAATCAGGAAACAAGCCTTCAAGGCAAGCTTCGTTTTGGGTTAGCATGCCTGAGTCAATTTTGAGAGCAGTTCCTGTCACATGTGCTGTCGAAATGGGGTCAGGGGTGATGGGGGAAACCTAATCTTGCAGCCTTGAGGATTCTATCAATAAATTCTGCAGATTCCTGCTTTGCTTGTTCAGCTGTTCTGTTTCACCATGAGTACATGTCAATAAGCATGCTAATCTCCAATTTAAAGACAGAGGAAAATAAAAACACCAAGATTTGAGAACAGTTACAATGGCTGAGCTATTTTCTTGATAATTGCTGTGCTTCACAGCATCTCTTGTAATGTGGTGCTCACATGTTGAAAGGCCAGGAGGTCACTCACAAATATACACTAGCCTCTTTGTTTTGTTATGACCTTTTCCTTCTTTGCAGTCTCGTGTTCTAGGGATACAACATGAAAAATTATCAAAAAAAAAAAAAAAAGGACAGAAAACCATATAAAACCATAATACTTAATACATAATCCTTAAAATCCAACACTCATGTTTGCATACATTCAAATAATGGAGAATCAAGATACCTCGTACATTCACTGAATATTGATATGAATTTGTTCCCTGACACAAGCTATTGTACGACTTCAGAAGACTATGAGGAATATAATGCAAAAGTATATATAATATGTATTTATATTTACGTTTATTCGTTTTGCAGATTTTTTATTCAAAGCAACTTGTAAATGAGGAATACGGCAAGCGATTCATCATAGTCAGGCAGTAAACAAGAGAAGTGCTAGTGATACAAAGTTTCAGACATCATTTAGAATTAAAGTATAGTGAAAGCATAGAGGAAGATTTTTTTTTTTTTCTGACGGAATAGATGTATATTTAATATTGTCAGGGATTTTCTGTCCCAGATTGGGTTAGGTAGATAATTCCACCAACAAGAAACAGCGAACAAAAATGTTCTGGTTGATTGATTTTGTGCCCGTCTAATGGTACCATGAGGCATCACTCATTTACTGGCGTAAGCCTTCTGAAGGGGAAGTACTCATAAGGCTGAGTGGTACGTAGATGGGTGCGGAGACTGCAGCTGTTCTATATGCAAACATCAGTATCTTAACCTTGTGCAATTCAAACCTGCATGATCGTGGTGTCCTTGCAGTGTGGTCTTTGAAGGTCAGCTTATTGTCAAAGATTGCCCCAAAACCTCTGACCAAACTTGATGAGATTTTTGTTGATATATATCTTTAGAATGTTTAAGCTGTATAAACTGAATCCACAAACACATCCCACATCCTCATAATTCTATTTTATATATATACATACATATGCAGACATACATTCATATAATTACTCTTTTTGGTTGCCCTCATCCTCACTGTACGGGGAAAAACAGCATAAACATTCCAAAGTCTAATATTGGGTTGACTAAATGACAGAAATTAAATTTTGGAGTGAACTTTTCCTTTAAATGGAAGATAAACATTTTTATCAATTATTACAAAATCCAGATAGAACAGAATCTAACAGACTGACTAAACAGACTAAATAATATGTGGTCTTAATCTAGTTAAAACTGTATTCAGTTCTCTGACCATGCACCCCTCCCTCTCACAACATGAGGAAATGAACCAGTCAAAGGTGCAGAAAAAGTAAACAAGCCTGTGTTGAAGTTTTTGAAGCTTTGAAGTGGAGCTTGCGGTGGCGTGCTGGGTTTCGGATGCTGTGTTTGTGCAGGGCTGAGCAGTGGTGGGGAAAAAATTGGTGTGTAACGCTTGTTTGAAGTTAGGAGATCTAATCCGGTATTTATCAAAAGCACACCAACTCCATCCTCAGTGCCAGAATGACAAGCTGCTGAGAAGAAAACGCATGAAAAAGCAAATGAAACTAATATACATCAATGCAAATATACATATGGGTGGGTCTCAGAACAGCTGTCAGGAACATATTTTAAAATTAAGCTTGTTTTGCAAACATTATTTTCATTTCAATTGACATATTTAAGTAAACTTTATTTTATTACCAAAAAAATATTTAAAATTGGATGGATTACAGTGTGATTTTTCACATCATGTAAATAAACCTTGGAGATGAAATTTGAATAATTTGCATGAAAACAATGTTACAAATCAAAAGTAAAATCTTACTTAAAATCTGCCTTACAAAATTTGTCTTATGCCGAACATTTTTAATTTATATATATATTTTTTTTTTTTGATTGATTGATTGATTGATTGATTGATTTGGTAAAAAAAAAAGTAATCTGAACAATGTTTTTATGAAATTCACCTACATGCGTGCCTAAACAAGATGAGCTTAAGGAAGTGAAAATAAAAGAGATTTCAGTTTGATACTTGGGAACTAACTAACTAACTAACTCATTGAGGATGTTTTCCATATTTAGCTCTTTGCTTTAGCTAATCACCTAAAGATTTATTTAAAATGCATTCAAACAGTGGGCAATTTTCTTGCCAAAATGTTTAATTGTCTAATACAATCTTAAATACAAAATGTAATCTTAATTAGTAATTGGTGGACCAACTAGGTTCAGGGACTCTAGACTATATGTAACTTTTTGACCTTTTTGGAAATTGTGCCAATAATATGTTGGTAATATGTAGGATGAGTTTGTTTAGTCAAGGATGTAACAAAGTATTAAAATATCAGTGTAACCAAATATAATATTAAGAGAATCTATAATTGAAAAACCCAAAGTAATTCACCACTGTTCTGAATTTTGTGGAGCAAACATGCATAGTAAGTGACATAGAATGTGATCATGTTCAAAGCTGTTGAAGCCAAAACACTAAGACTAATGTGCTTTGCATGACTAAGTGCGAGCAGTTGTATTTGAAGTGGGTAAGAGTGAAGTCGGTACTTCTCATTAGACCTTTTTTCCCCTGATGGTCTTTTTCATTTCCTCCTTTCTTTGTTTTTCACGTGCTAAAATACATTAACTGAGGATGGCATGGCAACACAATGGGTGTGGGTGATCTGATGTATCAGTTGTGCCAATAGCTTAAGAGCTCTGGATCTCCCTTTACAGATATAGCAACACCTTTATGCAGGCTTTTACAGGCATGTTTAGAATCGAGAATTTTGGTCAGGATTGTGTGTGTTAACGGTTCCTGCCAAATCTAGTGCCGTGCTGTCCTGTCACAAATTATGTGGTTACAAAGATATTTCTCAACCTCATTTACCCCAAACCTCACTTTAGTTTGGCCTGCAGCAGATTACATATTTATAACAACGCAGAAAAAAATAATTTTGAAAAAGCACAGTTGGTTCTAGAATGTGTCACTTCACAATTCACTTGTATCAAAGTGAATAAAGTACATCTGATTCACTATTCCGTTAATGACACTTTGAGTGGTTAAAACAATCTTCTTACAATGCATTTAGTCAAGGGACTGTTCTTTGTCAATATTAGACAAATAAAATAGCTAACAACACAGAGAGAACTTCATCTTTTATATCAATGTGGCAGTACATTTAAGGGGGCATATAGATAGTATCAGTTTAAACAGTACCTGCTGAATATTTAAATATGACATTTAAACTTTGCAACTGCAATATTGCAGACTATATTGTACTTTTTTAATGGACATTACACAGGGAGAAGAACTGATAATAATCTGTTGTAAATAAACACCTCTACCTACAATTGTATAACTTCATTATCAAGTGAAGTTTGTAACAGAAAAAAACTGTGCATTATTACAGTGTCAATGTCAGTGCAAAGATAATATACAGTATTATATAAGTGCCAACAAAAGTTTTCAGCTTGTTAATAGTATGGCACTTCAGGCAGTCAATATGTTTACATGTGGCATTGCATAAAATGGTATCATTCTATTTTGTGTGTGGGTTTCATTAAATAGTGGTTATGTATGTTATTTTCACATTCACTTACCATTCTGGAAATGTAAGTACATTCACATATAGTTAGAGGTTCTGGTCTAGTTTAATCAAGTTCCAGTTGATTTACAGTATATTTGTATTATTCTTACTCCACAGTTAAGTATTCCAAATGTTTGGATATAATTCCACTGAGAACAAGTGTGCCCCCCAGTACAGGGCTGAAGGATGACTTTAAGAGGGAGGTAAATCCCTCTAAAAGGACGTAGTTTACTTACTGCCCTGAGAGATATTAACAAACCAAATTAGGGCATATTTGCATGTTTATGCCACATTTCATTCACTGCAGAGTGCTTTTTGTGCATTCAGTTTCTTTACATCCATTTGTCCAATACTTGTCCTTATACATTAGACTCATTGTGGAACATCTTGTTCTTTATGGACCTCAGGCTGAACTGAAGAGAAGAGCTCGTCTCTGACTGCAAAGCCTCAGAGAACTTGACATCAAAGGAACGGTTCATCTGAGATTTCCTCTTAATGGAGTTTTGTATTGTCTCTGAGGTGAAATAGTAGACGATGGGGTCAAAACAGCAGTTGGACACAGCAATACACAAAGCGATCGGATAGATTGTCCGAACCACTGATTCTACTGCGCAGCCCTCCAAGACTTTTGTCCGCACCAGTGAGTAGAAAACCAGGTTGACGTTGTAGGGGATGAAACAAAAGCAGAAGATGGAGAGGTGGACGATAATCATCCTCAAGATCTTTTTCTTGTTCAGCTTCCCTCCCCGACTAACAGTCTGTGGCCTCCTCAAAGTTTGGAGCACCATAGCGGAGCAAACCACGTTCAGTATCAAAGGGATAAGGAACCCCACTGTTTCTATGAAAATCACCACCTTTGAGAGATGACTCTTCCACTGATTTGAGGAGAAGTTCTCAAAGCAGGCTATCGTGTTGTTATTTTGCTTGTTAGTACTGTTCAGCATGAATCCTGTCGGAAGACTTCCAGAAAGCACCAGAACCCAAACAGCAGCACATACAATTTTGGCATTGCGTTTGGTCCGGAGACCCCTTGAACGGAAGGGGTGTACGATGGCGAGGAAGCGGTCCACGCTGATGCATGTTAGAAACAGGATGCTCCCATACATGTTGGTGTAAAAGAGTGAGACAGAGAGCTGGCAGAGCAGGCTGCCGAATGGCCAGTTCTGCTGGATGAAGTAAAACACCCTCAAAGGGAGTGTGAGCACAAATAATAAGTCAGAAACCACAAGATTCATCATATATGTGGTGGTCTCATTCCGCAGTTTCAGTGAACAAGTAAAAATGTACATGGCGGCAACATTGGTGATGAGTCCCACCATGAAGACAATGCTAAACACTATGCTGTAGAGTGGATATTTGAAGTTGTCATTCTTTGGGCAGTGGGTGTTGTTGTGTAGCTGCAGAGAGGAATTTTTGTTGCTGGCACTGCCAGCCCATATCTGGGTCAAAGCCTCCATCTGAACAGTGGTGTTGTACATCTCAATAAGAAACAAAGGAGCACTATGGGGTGGTAGTTAGGCAAGACTACACAATAAAATGATTTTCCTCAATCCACAATTCAACAGGGCAAAACAAAGCATGTGAAGCAGACAGATTGCTTCCAACCACAAGATGGACTTTCCTTCAAGGGCACATAGATCTCTTTTTTCTGTTGGCAGTTCAAAACTGAAGCGATCAAACACTCCTCTGTGGCATTCTTCAACAAAGCCTCATGTTGAAGGCATTTCACCCCAGAGACTGGAGCCAGACCCCGACTACCTCTTCCCCTCCCCCTTCCTCCTGTCCTTTACCTAGCCACCCCACAAGATTGTTGCCCCAAGCTTAGAAGCGACACACTCCAAAGTTTCAATTCACAGTCCTTTCCTCTGGTTCGACTTTAGAAATAACATCCAAAAGCAGTCAAAAGGAGTAGTTCTGTTAGAATCCACTCCTAGTATATCCCATTGAGGAAAAACAAATGTCTTTGTCCAAAATACTCATTAAAGCAATCCCAAATTCTTCCCCGACAAGTCTTGAAGTATCCTTTAAATTAGCCTTCTTTGTTCTCAGTCCCACAGATTGTCCAGTGATTGTAGAGCACCTGTAGACAGCATGCAGCTCTCTCTGAGTGTGACAGTGCAAAAGCAAGTCAGACTTGCTTCATCCAAGGGTCTGTTTCCCCCTTCCTTGCTGCTCTGTCTTGTTGTCTCCGTCAGCAGGGGCATTCTGTGCTGTGAGCATTGAAGAGGCGAGAGAGGCAGCTGTGCTGTGGAGGACTTTACAAGCCGGTTTTATCAGCATATTTGACTAACCATGGCTCCTCCTACCTCCTGGATAGATCCCTCCCCCTCTGACAGAGAAGCCAGACAGCAAGAAATTATTATACAGTGTACAAGGCGCAAACTGTTCTTTGTTTGTCTGTCAGTCTCTTTCAACAGCTTTGAATTTGTTATTGTATTATTTAATATAAAACCTTACCCAAAAGAAAATGATATCAGGAGGCTTTAAAAGTACAAGAGGCTTACTGGAGTTCTTAATTGTGTTTCTTGTAAGTATCAACTGTTTTGTTGAAATTAAGATACAGTAGTTTAGATAGTTCAGTTAGAGGAGCTTTGGGAGAATTTTGGTTAAAATGTTTTAGTTAAAATTTAAATCTCAGTTTTGTACAGACATTGGCATCTTGGCAAAGAGTTATTAGTTCTTCTTAGGAGATACTGTACATTTGAGATTACTAGAGAGTTTTTCCATGTCACAGTTTGCCTTTAGAATGGTCCAGTTAGCCCCTGATGGTAGATGTGGTAATTACACCATCTGAGTGCAAAGAGCATTGAGTCATTCAAATGATCTGACTATATGACTATATTTGTGTGATAATGTTTATAAAACATACATTTACATATTCAGTTTTACACCACCATATATATATATATATATATATATACTGGAGGAAAGGTTAAGGAATTACACCTCTTTAATATGTACCGCCCCCTTTTTCAAGGAACCATAAATAATTGGACAATTGACTCAAAAGCTGTTTCATGGAGATGTGTGGGCTATTCTTGTTATTTCTACACCAGTTAAGCAGGTAAAAGGTCTGGAGTTGATTTTAAGCGTGCCATTTGCATTTGGAAGCTATTGCTGTGAACCCACATCATGCGGTCAAAGGATCTCTCCATGCAGGTGAAACAGACAATTGTTAGGCTGCAAAAACAAAACAAATCCATTAGAGAGATAGCAAGAACATTAGGAATGGCCAAATCAACAGTTTTTTTACATTCTGATAAAAAAAAGAACACACTGGTGAGCTCAGCAACATAAAAAGGCTTGGATGTCCAAGGACGACAACACTGGTGGATGATCGGAGTATCCTCTCCATGGTAAAGAAAAACCCTTTAAGCACACTTTTTTGGGAGTTATTCCATAACATTTAGTTTTTATATACCACTGTTCAGAACTGTGCTAGCTAACCATGTGCTGATTAGCATCTTTGAGCTTAGTTCAGATTTATCTAAAATTGTCACTACCGAAACATTTTGTCACTACCGAAACAGTCACTACCAAAACATGTCATCATTGTTTCGGTCGTGACAAAAGATAACACATAATCCTCATATTTGGGGGAAATAAACACAATTTTAGTACAGTTATGCAATTTTTTTGTATTTTAGTATGTTTTAGTATGTGAGTTAAAATTCTGTAATGTGATGTGGTTGCTACCGAAGCATTACTGTCACTACCGAAAATGTGCTGTCACTACTGAAACATGGGTAATGTTTTGTCAAAAATAAAGTATACTGAATTATCAACTAAGATGTTATGATAGTTTTTGGTTCAATGTAAGCATGAAATGTACTTCTATTTTTCCATCTGCTACTGACCTCACACTGAAGGGCTTGCCACTGTTTGCATTCTTGTGATGCCGTTAGTTGTCAAAAGTTGTCATTATGTAATTTTCCTGCAGCTCTAGCATCATTACTCGCATAACATTTACTGCTCATGTGCTTGGCTCAGAAAAAAAAAATAGAAGCAGAACTGAGGGCACATGAGCCATGCTGAGCACTGAGTACTAAAGTTGGAAGATTTCAAATTCTGAGAGGCACCAGCCAAGCAAGTGCCACTGAGATTAACTGAAAGGCTAAATAACAGAAAGCTGTTCATTAGCATTCCCATTCATCTCAGTCACACTTGGTTGCTCTTTTTTCCCTTCGGGAAAAACATCTGAGATACAAGAGACTTGTGCAAGTTGTATGGCAGAAGCAATTTAAATATTAAAGAGCTGTCAACTGTGATTTTATTATATTAATAGTTAACAACATAGAAACTGCAAGTCTGTTCCTTTTCCAAACTATATGCTTAAGAAAGAGGAAGTGCAACCAGCTTCCTCGGCAAAAGCTTCCGTTTAGAGACATTCTGTCAGGGTTAGGCAAGGGATTTTGTTTTATATACCACACCCTATGATACACTGCACTTTACTTGCAACAACAATAACAAAGGAACCGGTCTTTGATTAAATAATGAAGCACAACAAGGACAGTTTCTAGAATTATTTTCCCCATTAATTTTCTCTATAGGGATTTTAAACAAAAGACCTCAATATAGAATGTTAAGGCTAACAAAACAAAATCAACTTTGAGATGAATCACAACATTAAAACGTTTGTTCTGAAGGAGAAAAAAAAATTTATATAAAAAATACAAGACTGTGTGCACTTAATGTAAACTTCACCATGAAACACAGCAAATGGTATAATAATAATAATAATAATAATAATAAAATCAGACGTCAGAAAGAGCTTTATTACCAAGCATTTTAGACACACAAGGAATTTGACTTGGCGACAGGTGCTGGAAAGGAAAGGAAAGCGTTTTTGGTTCAATGTATATTCAAACTAATGAATCCTTAACTTTGAAATCAGTATGATCATGGCCTTTTACAAAGAAAAATTGGATTCAAAATACAACAAATCTCATTAATTACACTTGAAATATTGTAAAAAATTTAATTGTTATGGATTTACCTCTCAAAATATTTTTGTAAAATAGCAAAAAATATATATTTACAATCTAGATGTAAAATATCTTAATAGGTCAATATAACCCTTCTAATTAAATTATTATTACGGTGTTTCGGTAGTGACAAATTTGGGTATAGGACAAATATTCCAAAACTTTCTTTAAATACAATATGAGAATTAACAGCACATTTACTAGAAATGTGTAACTTGGATATTTGCATATATACATAAAAAATTTTAAAAAAGACATTATATATATATAGTGTGTGTGTGTGTGTGTGTGTGTGTGTGTGTGGAGCTAAGCGCTGAGAACCTGAAAGACACTTCAAATTTTGTCACTTGATGAGGAGATACTTTATTTGTGTGATAAACTGTACATGAAACACATTTTTAGACTTTTCTTGGCCTGTTTTATCATTTGACAATAAAAAATTATATATTTGATGTTTAGGTTTTGATATTCAAACATTTAGCTTTTCTGAAGCTGAAACTACAAATTGTAACATGCTGATGTATGTTCATGCCTCTTTCAAGGACAAGGCTGTCTGTAGATTCTGGAACTGACACAAGGGATGCCCAACACTTCTGCTGGTCCCCTAGTGGCAGTGCACAACTGAGAGTCTTGTTTTTATGTGTTCAGTGGAATGGTTTTGTTGGAGGTCTTGTGTGCAGCAGACAATGTCTCCCTGACCTTGATGGTGTTTGTTTTAAGGGAGCCCCATGGGGAGCACAGAACAATGGCCATAAAACATCTTACATGTTTCACTATGTCAGCACAGGCTTCAAAACATTTCTGAGTTGTTTTCATGTCAGTTTGCTGGGTTTTTGCTCCTTAATAAAATCTCTTAACACTCCATGTGATAATGTTTGCTTTGGTAATGTTATGCTATAAATAATACGTTTCAGGAATTTTGTGTACATGATATTTGCTATAAATATATAGCGAAAAGAATAGCACTGAAATGCCATTAAAAAATTATAGTTTTAAAGTAGACTTTAGTGCATATTACAGAAATACTATACTGTAAAAAGAATATATATAAGTGCAAACTGAATGTAATGTTTTTGGACAATTAATTGTGCATTAATTGCAATTAAATGAAAGTGTATCATAATTTACATTTATTTTACATACAACTGCTGAATTATTATTTAACACATTATTTAACCAAATTGAGTACAGATTTGCTTTACAATTATAAAAACTGACAAGTGCACATTCAATACAATCAAGCACACTTTTATTTTTATTTTTTTTGGTGTAACAAAGTTTTTTTTTTTTTTTGCTGTACCATTACTGTACCACCTAATGTAGAACCTCATTTAGAAACATTGGCTATTGACTACACTGTCTGAATAAAAAGATCAGATTTTAATTACAGTGCGGACAGACAGTCCAGATTAAAAAAAAAAAAAAAAAAGATTTGTGTGCCATGTCAAAAGCCTTTTAGATCCTCAATGAAAGCTGCATTAAAACTTGACATTTTGCAAATTCTGTACATGCTGCACTTATTTGTTAATTAGGGAAAAGTGTCTTGTGGGAAAATAAAGTATGTTTGCTCTTTCCACTTCCCTTTTGTCATAATATTTTATCAGTTGAAAGCACTATGCTAAGGTTAGTTTAATAGCTGCCTTGGTTGAAGAGCATTAAATATTTAGACAGTTTTTCTGCATATAATGGACAAAGAAATCAATATCATGGCTCTTTCATTGTTGACTGATATTGAGTGGTTACATTTATATAGTATATGTGGTCATATTACTGATGGCTGCTTGCCATTATGTGGTACAATCTGTGTACAATCTATAGCTAATATTTTGCTTTTTGCAAAAAAAAACAAAAAAAAAAAAACATTAATGTGTACCAGTTACCAGTGGTTTCATACTGATACTGAACTTAAGTATAATTTGTATAATTACATAATTGCTAAGCACTAACAGTTCTTCCAGGAATGCATCCTAACTATTAAGATAATTTACTGGCCTTATAAAGTATCATGCACTATTCCAAATCTTTCCCTGTGAATTTTCCTTTACATGTATATGAAAAATAGCACCCTGAACATTCTGCTAAATATCTCCTTTTGTGTTTCACTTAAGAAAGAAAGTTAAGTCTGAAAGTCTGCCCTCAAATGTACCATGCTGGTGCTTATGGCAAATGCCCTCAATTGTCATACATCTCTGGATAGGTGTTTATGTGATGTTGCGATTCACTTTTTGTAGGAGTGGTTGGTTGTTGTCATATTGAGAGTATG